TCACATGCAATGCTGAAGATATCTTCACATTACACAACCAAAAGAAACGCTACTTATTTCCACTATTTGTTTTGCAGAATAATACAGAAGCAACCTTTACTCTCTTAAGTGACTAAAGCTTGACACAGTATTCGCATTAATTTATTAAAAATTTGCTAGTTGAAGCCAAATGTTCAAGTCAACCTGTTTTCTAAAACCTCTGCTAACAAATTACTTGGAAAATTGCCAGAAGCCTGAGTCCAATCCCTTTTTCTGTTTCTTTCTCACCAAAAAAAAAAACATCTGGTGCACGTTAATTGTCAATCTGTATTGACTGTAAGATTTAATGCTGGTAGGCATCTTTAAATACAGCATCCTAGATAATTAAATAGCTGAACACCAGTGAACAATTGTCAATACAGAATAATAAATACAGAATAATATCAATACACTCCCTGATGCTTCCTAGCGATAGAGAGCTGATGCTGTTTGAACCAGCTTCTCTTGAAAGCTTTAATTTTATCGAACAACATTATTTCAGGAGAGATGATTTGGGGTTTTACTTTTTAACAAAGAGAGAAGTGGAGTGTGGCATGGCATTTAATATCTGGCTGAGATTTAAAACGCACGCTCCTTATGAAGTATGACATTTTATACCTGAAACCACAGGAACATTTCCCACATTTAAGTGATAGAGGGAAAATTCTTCAAATTAGATTTGAACTTTATACCTTCTAATTCTGCTCCAATCCTCCTCCTCCATGCACCACGCTCAGGCCTGATGAACATGCTGGTGCTATATCAAAGTCTAATAGACCTGACTGCCGACAAATCCCCTTCACTTAGCCTTGAAGTAAGCAGCAAACCTCCTGTAGGTCCAGTAGTTAATATTAACTGGCAAAATAGCTCAGTGACTGATCGTGAGGCTAAATGAACTGGTCAGCGCAGCACAGCTGGCAGAGACATCCCTGCTGGGTGTCAGCATGAGCTGGAAGCCAGCACTGAAGCCACAAGGCAGACCTCAGTCCCCAAGCTTGCAGCGAAGAGCCACACAGAGCTCCCTTACACACTTTAACCCAAACCTAAAGGAAAACCAAATACCCATCTGCAAGTAAGCCCTGAGCAACATCTCCCCAGCCTTGCCCGTCAGATGTCCTGCTTCTCACTTTCCTCGACCCACGGGTCTGCCGTGCAACTCAACTGCAATCAGGTCACCAATCTGGGGACAGCTGCCCTGCTGTAAGTGCTGCCACAGCCACTGCCCCTTGCAGGAGAGCTCCTCTGCCGAGCTCTCCAGGATGAAGGGGACACTGGCACGCCGGGGTAGAACTATGGAGCAAGGGGGTTTTTCAGCGTGAGACATCCAGCAAAATCCACCCTCCCGGCACTTCTTCACAACCCGCTTCATCCAGCCCATTAGTAGCACGCAAACGGGCCCCTTCGACAACCCCTCATGTCAGCAGGAGGTGCCTCCTAGACCATATAACATCCCACACCCCGGGGAGGTGCAGCACAGACCCTTCACGCCTGTCCCCATGGCCAAACAAGCAACAGGATCCCTGACTCTCAAGTGGTGGCCCAAAGCTCCAGCTCACCCATCCCGTGTGACGGAGAAAGCCCTGACCCACAGCCTCTCCTTCTGCACGCTCTTGGGGCCAGCAACACACAAATAAAAAAAAACACTCCGCCTTCCATCCTGTGCCTTGAGGGACAATCCAGACCTTTGTAAGTGCTTTGAAATACAAGTTGCAAAGGCAGAACATTTTTCCTATTATGTTCCTTGCCTTACTTAAGCCCTTACTCAGCAAGAGACAGGTGCACTAAGCTCTTTGCCAGGGACCTGCATTTAGAGGAACAAGGTCCTCCAGTTTTATATGTTATCCCCTTGTAAGCTCACTAGTCGCCTCTTAAGCTCATAATAAAAGACTTTTTTGAAAAATGATGGCACCTAGTTTCCAAGGCAGCAGAACTTTTAAGCTCGTGTTTGCAAGAGCCTAAGGAATTACAGATGCCAAAATGAACACGCTCTATAAAACCCATCACCTATTCCTGCTGGATAGATTAAGTAACACAGTTTTATTTTTTAATGCAACACGATCTGGATGAGGAAGTCGCTCTCAATGCTGTACAAAAGACGTACAACGTGTGGAATAACAACTACAAATCCCTTTAACCTCTGATGGTACCTAGAGATCTCAGATGGTTTGGTGCCTGTCGGGATTATCAGAGGTGTGTGATCCCAGACTGGAAAGACTGAGATACTTCATGGTGTTGACCGACCATCGATGGTCTGCTGGACCTCGGCTGCAATGCTCCAGAGGAAGAGACAAGAAGGAAAATAAAGGAAAAGAGAAGAAAGTTGGAGGTGGGGATGGAGAGCAGCTGTGCCGAACCTGAAGCAAAAGACACAGCCACAGCAGAAAATACATCACAGGGCAGTCCTTTGTGGATAGCAACTGTCCCAACAGCCCAAGCCGACCTGCGTCCTCTCACTTCAAAATACTTGAAAGCTCAAGGATTCAACTGGAAATCTACAACAAACCAGAACATCTCACATTCCCCAGTTTCTCTTGTTTATGTCTATTTTCTTAGGCTAAACCGATTACTTATTCTCAGTCATACACCACTCCCATTTCAGCTACAAAGCAGGCTCCTTTCCCATGAAAAAAAAAAATCAACTCTGCTTATTTTATAATTCATTTTACTGCATGACTTTTATCAGCAACACAATTATTTTTTTTTTCCAAATTCCCTACAAACTGATGAAAATAAAAAGACTCTCAGCTTGTGCCCAGGCTCCCTGCATGCTCTCACACCCATCACTTTTTTGTAGCATAATTACCCATTTTTAGAAGGAAGATGTTTGAATTCATCCAACTTTTTTTTTTTTTTGGGGGGGGGGGGGGCGGTAGGGGGAGGGAGGAGTGAGCAGTGGACATTACTTTATCTTTAATATAGTTTCCAGAACAACAAAGACCATCCTTTGCACTGTGACACCAAGGTGCTAACAGAGGGCAGTAAATTCAGATTAATAATTAACACCCACATCATATCAAGCAATCTAGTTGCTCTCATTTCAATTGCTTCAGAAAGCTTCCTTTTTTTGTTTCAAACACATGCAATAGGTTGCTTAGCTATTAATTACAGGAGCTATTTTTGAGAGATGCATTGCAGAACAAAAGACTGAAAGTAGTTTTCTATTCCAACTCCAATTCCCGAATTTACTTATTAAATTGCAAGCATTACTCCCTTTTTCTTGGAGATTTGGGAACAGTAGCTTGAAGTCTATGGCAAAAGGTATACTGCTTAGGAGTTACAGCCAAATCGGTGCTTAAAACTACACGCACTGGTGGAAACAGTACTGTTGGGACTCTGCAGGTAAAACTCTTGGCTGAAAAAAAATAGTTTGGCAAAAAGAAGTGATGTACAAATGCCCACAATAATGGAAATAAAAATGTGAGGTTCCCATTCAGGCTGTGAAGACTTGGTTAAGGTATTAAATAAGAACAAAACACAAGTTAGTTACTGCTTTTGAGACCCCCTCCGACCTGCAGATGGATGAAAATCAGGCACTGAAAGGAAGCAGACAAGTTTCTGATGTAAGCCACACTAGCACAGAGAAGCACTTTGATATTAACACAGCTAATTACAAGCCAATTTTACACCATTTTCTGATGCCATCCCCTCCAAAGAAAAAGCAACAGGTACTCAAGTGCACTTACTCCTGAAAAACCCCACCAATCCAGTACACCAAAAGAAATCATGCAATCGGCATAGCCATCATCCAGCTCAAAAAATAATATGCCTTTGATGTTTTTTATTATGGTTTTGATCTTTCGAGGTTCACATTTTTAAGCTTTTCCTCCAAAACCACGGGGGCTAGGAACTTTATTTCAAAAACTCGATAGCCAAGAGTCTCACCTAATTATATGAGCTAGGGCTTCAAGGTGGGGGAGCAAAGGAACACAGACATTGAGATTTATGGCAAAAAAATACAACCGCTGGCAAAACACTCATTGTCCCAAACTTCTTTCTTTCTTCTTCACCTGCTCTGAGAAGGAGTGCATTTTTTCCCCCCAAAAAAATGTGATGTGCTGTAATTCTGTCTCACTAGCTTTGATTTTTTTTCTTCTCTTAAAGAAGGAACCTTTTATTGTTCTGCAATGGATACTTCCCACTCTGCACACAGGCAATACATTAAAGCAACTATTTTTTAAAAACTTCACCTTCACTACTGGCTAGACATCATTTACAAGAAGGCAAAACAGCTGTATCACCCTCAAAGCCAGCCTCCTACCAAACCAGGGCTCAGAAACTACAGGTGTGATTTTACAGGCTGTATTGCAACATGCCCCTGGTTTCCCCCATTGCCTTTTTTTTTAATGGAAGAAAAAAAAAAAAAAAAAAGGAAAATCCTGCTAGGAGTGACATAACACTAATAAGTGGGATGGAGAGAGATGTCCACAGCCTCAGCACTTGCTTCCCAGCCTCCCCAGCATATGAATGTGCTCGGTTTGGGGATGCAACTGATGAAGTACAACACAGGAGGCAGGTGTCCAGCTGGTGCAAGGAGGGGAAAAATAATAATAATAATAATAAACTGGGTTTTAAGTGGCAAGGGAATGGAAAACCACTAGAAACTTGCTTTGATAGGTACCTGGGGGGAAAGCGTAAAGAAAAAATTGAGGAAGAACAGGAATGCAAGTGGGACAAGCGCTTGGGAAGAAATAAAGGGAAATACAGAAAAGTAAAGGGAAATACAGAAAAGAAAAGGGAAATACAGAAAAGTAAAGGGAAATACAGAAAAGTAAAGGGAAATACAGAAAAATAAAGGGAAATAAAAGGAGGGAAATAAAGGGAACGAAATAAAGGGAAAGAAATCATGGGAAATAATAAAGAAAAATAAAGGAAAAGCTCACTTTCTCCCCCGGTCAGGCCCGGAAGCCGCGGGGGGGATGGCCTCCGCGTCCCGCCCGCCCCGTCTCCGCGGTAACGGCGGGGCCCGCGGAGGGCGGCCGGTGAGGAGCCGCCGGCCGGGCCGGGCCGGGCCGGGCCGGGCCGGGCTCCGCGGCGGCCTCGGGGCCGGTGGTGTCGGGGCGGAGGAGCGGCTCCGCGGCGCCTCGCCATGTCTCAGGCGTGAGTAGCGCGGGGCGCGGGGGCCAGGCGGGGCGAGGGGCCGCAGGTGCCCGGGCGAAAATCTTGTTTAAGGCGGTTAAAAAAAAAAAAAAAAAAAAAATATATATATATATATATATATATACATACACACCACCCTCTCTCTCCCCCGAGCTCCAGAGGAAAACGGCTGCCGGTAGAAGCGCGGTACAACTGGTTCCGCCGGGCCTGGGCCGGTGGTGCGAGGCCCGGGCGCCCCTTCCCGCCGGGCCGCGGCCTGCCCTGAGGCAGCGGCGGGGTCGGGGACCCAAGGGGGGGGGGGGGGGGGGGAGTGAAGAAGGCGGGATTCATCCCCTCAAAGTAATCGGATCACCTCAGCCCTGTTCAGGCCAATATTAATATTATTCCTACTCATGCGCTTGGCCTTTTTCGGCTTGGAAAAAAAAAAAAAAAAAAAAAAAAAAAAACACCGAAAAACTTTTTCCTCTCTTACAGACCAAAATTTGCACATATTATTTTAATCTGTAATGAACTCCTCATGCTTTCAGCACAGCACAAAGCTTTAAAAGTTTATTTGCAACAATAACCAGACACTGATGATGGCGTTGGATCAAAGTGCCTGCAAGGAGCCATACTCATTTCTCCAGAAATATTACTAAGATACCAAGCCCCCATAATAAGAAAGCATTATTATTGCTGAGCTACACAGTTGAAAACCTAATAGTGAGCGTCTTTCATCACATTATCCCTCAGCTTCCAGGTCCAGCAGTAGAAAACCCTGGGCACAGCCCAGTTTGGGGCTGCTCTTGGTCCCAGTTCGGAGCTGGATGGGGTTGCTCAGTTTCAATCAATAACAGTACATTGGAGGCGGGAAGGGAAAATTTAAAAAAAAAAAAAACAACAAACCTCAGGCAGTATTCGCTGCCTGCTGCTGCTCCTTCTTCTGCATGTTCAAGCCCTAACCCAGTCCAACCTGACCATATCCAGACTGTTGCCCCAGCAGGTTGTGAGCACAGTCGCTTCTGGCTACTTACCCATGGTCTTCTCCTCCCCTGGCATCACTGGTACCAGCCTCAAAGCTTCATGTTTCTTTTGCTCAGTATCATCTTTTCAAACTCCAACTCATTGCTGGGTAAAACCCCTCAGACACTAAAACACCCTTCCAGCCTCAGAACTAGAGCAACCCTCTTGGTCACCTCCACGTTGGGTTTCCTCTAACCCAGCTTTCTTTCCTCAATGCAGTTGCAGGCCCGCCTAGGTATCACCACCAGCTCTACTGCCTTCCAGCCAGGCAGCTTCCATGTCCTCGCTCCTTGGCTCAGGAGAGAAGGGTGAGCAGAGAGGAATGAAGAAAATCACCACCAAGGGCCCATCAGAGACTGCCTGGGGGCTCTGTCCAGGGACACAGATCCAGCATAGTGTCCAGCAGCTGTAAATGTGAGGAAGGCTTGGTTATGTCCCTGGCTAATCCTGTGTGGGGTTGGCTTGTAATAGCACTAATCATGTCTTGCACTGGCATGGCAACTCAGTTAAAGGAAGTTCACAAAGTAATGGGTAGGTACCTAAATCACATTGTTTAAAAGATTAAAAAAACAAAAACAAAAACAAAACAAGAGTGTTTGACGTCTTCCAAGGAAAGTCATCTCAGATTCTCTCATTCCTACAGAGTGTCTGAATCACGGCTCTTTTTTAAACTATATTAGCACAAAAGGAATTAAGTTGAGTATAGCTGGAAAATACTTGTGCTTCAACTCTTCGGCTCCCTTCAGTTGAATTTTGAGACAGGGCCCTCTGACAGCTCTAGCCAGCACCGAACAGCAAATCCAGGTGAAGATCTACATCTCCACACCACATGACAAAAATACAAACTGTTCTGTTTCCAAACGAGATAAGGGACTCCAACTTGACACTGATGCTCCTTGGCTCACTTAACTATGGTCACTCTGTAGCTGTGCACAGCACGGCATTTATAGCTAGGCTAGTCCAGGCCTTTGTCTGAATATACACCAGTTCATCAACCACTGCATCTATGGAGCTTGAGTTAAGCAGTGGGCTGGACAGTTTTGTTTACTATATCCTACACTTCAGTGTAACAAGTTTTCTGGACAGTTTGTGCTTTTCTTTATTGTCCCAGCAGCGGGATTTAGGTTATCACCTGAGAATCTCAGCATTCCTTTTAAAAAGGAAATATTTGTTTTAAAACCCAGAAGAAAACATGAATCAAAAATGCCCCCAAACCATCAGAAAAGTAAAAAGTACAAAATTCTTACCTAAAAATATATGGCCTTAAAGGCTTAATTTAATGATTTTTTTAAATGGTTGGGGCTGACAGTGCTGACAAATCCATAAAAATTTTATCTTAATGTTTACAGCTTTGTGCTTTCCCCTCTGGCACAGAGCTGAGTTGCAATCAATGCCAGTAGTTACAAAATAAGAGCACACTTTCCTTTTCTCCTAGGCTATCTTGTTTCGCAAGGTACAGCTAAGTTACTGAGGCTACTGTTAGATGATTGTATGTAGTGAGATTATCCTGGCTGTGTACCATAAATCATGCTAAATTAAAAGTATTTTAAAAGCGACGTGACAAAAATGTCTTGTAACAGACTGTCTTACTTGGAGGCAGTGAAGCAAAGAGCTAATAATGCATGGAGTTTATGAGAAAGAACTTTGGTACTTTGGTCAAAAATATTTTAAGGGCTACCACCTTATTTGGCTGGGAATAGGGGTGGCTGCCAATCTTGCCATGTCATATATAAGACAGACTCCATCCTACAGAGGTAGGCACATCAGTAAGTCACAGCCAAGTCTGTAATACTGATTCTTCAGTACTCCACCATCACATCCTGTGTGCTGTATAGAAATGCTACACAGCACATAGCTGCTTTTGAGCTTGAGGTAAACAGCTGCTTTTTAGACATCTGGAAGAACAGCTGCTACACACAGAAGTTGCACGCGTCCCGTGCAGCCAGTTGGACATGCTAGACATACTAAGTGTGCACAGGGCAGTTGTCTCACACCACAGCCCGGCAACTTTTGCAGCACAGTTTGCGTGGCCGGGATTTCAGTATTTCCAGTCAGTTTATGAGGCACATTCAGCATTTTCAAGGCCCAGGGATTTTAACAGAGGTGTGGTCTGAAGCTCACGGAAGCGTGTTATTCCACTGCTTTAGTAAACTTTGTATCAGAATAGAGACAGGACACTCAGAAAGCACTCAGCTGTATTCTCTTAGGGTCAGTAAGTTCCAGCAGCTGGCCAAAAGAAAAGTCAGCATGTCCAGACGTGCTTGACATTTTCTGTGGACAGTTGTAGCGCTTGTGAGAGAACATACCCGTTACATTTGCTGTAGGGTTGATTAAGAAGTCCTGGACGTATTGCACTTCCTAAAGTACTCAAACCTCAGCGTTTGCATATAGATGTACATTCTGTTCCAGACACTGAACAGGAAATTTACATAGATGTTTTTGCATTTATGTTTTCCTGCTGCATTTCCTCCTCTTTCATGAATTTGTTTACCATTTACTTGACCTGCAGGATCTTGACCAGTAATTTCTTCACTTGCCCTGACAGTCCTAGTCCAGACACATTCAAAGCTGAGTCTTGGCACTGCTACCATGTCTACCAGGTCTTAATCAGCTCCAAGACATTCACCACTGCCACCAAGGAGCTTTAAACAGTCAAAAAGCTTTAAAATTTAATCTCATATCACAAATAGAACATATATTAATTCAGTGGTTAAATATTGATCTAAGACAAGATCTTTAGCACCTTCCTCTTCTGCTTCTGACAGAAACAACCAAAGGGAGCTACGTATTTTATATTATGTCCCCAGAGCTCAGCTAAAGAAGATCAAGTTTATGAAACCAAAATGTAAGAAAACGTCAGTACAACTTTTAATCCTCTCTTCTTTCCCCTACTTCACATGGTTGTGTTGCGATGCAATTTCTTATGTTGTGATCATATCCTATTTTCTTCCCACGGGGCCCCAGCCTCATTCAGTGATTGGGCTGTTGTTGAATATTTCTTTTTATCCCCTCATTCAGCATGTGGCCCCAGGCTGTATTCTTCAAATTCCATCCAAACGCCACAATTATTAGCCTCCTCCTGGGCATTCTTGGCATGTTCTCTCTCGTACATCTCCCAAGCATTCACGGATACATCTTTGCCCCTCTTTCCACCACGGTGAGCACTAGCATGTCATCCTGCTTATTTTATAGCCGGAAAAGAGAGACAGAATCAAAATGATCACAATGAAGGCTCAAAGCTGCAACTCCTTCCCTTGCCTTCCTTCATCCTTAATGAGCAGGTAGGGAAGGATCTCGTGCATTACTTGTACGTTGTCTCCTTCGGGAAAAAGCATTGCCAGTGGAAATATCCGAGCAGCACTTGTGCTAGCAAACAGTGAAAGAAGAGGCTTCAGGTTTCAAGAAACTGAGTCGACATTTTTAACTTCAAGCTTAAGGCTTCCTGATCCTAGCAGAGGTAGAGCAGCACCCAGACACTGCATTTGCCCTTTATGCATGCAACTGTAGGCAGCTGGACAGGCAATTGCTCTTTCCTTTTGTAATGAAGAAAAAAATAAAAGAAAATTAGACACATGGAATGGTTAATGCTAAAATAAACTTCATTTCCACACCCTGTGGCATGGGCATGTGGTATGGGCAAATGCTGTTTGGAGCTTGAGTGGGTAGGGTCTTCTCAGCTCTGGCCTGTTTCTGGCTATCCATCTCTCAGCAAAGAGCTCACTACAGTATCTGCTGCAGCAGTGCTACACAGCAATTGGATTTAAGTTGCCAAAGCTCTCCTTCCCCATCCTTTCACACTTCCCTGGCCAGGAGGAACACTGCTTGCAGAGGAGAAGAGGCTGCTGCTCTCCTCCTTACCTCAAAGCAAAGGGCAGCCTCCAGCCCAGGCAGGAGCTGCAGCCTGATGGACAAAAGGATGGCCCTTGGAGCCTGCTACAGCAAAGTTCAGCCTCAAATAACATCTCCCACACCTTAATCGCTTTGCAATGTTCTGTAAG